TCGGTATCTTTTGTGAGCGCCGCCTGCCGGTTTCTTTAGTCACAATCTGGCGGGGATCCGTTTTTTCGCTGTGAAGCTGTAAAGAGGGAGATGTTCTCATGCAAGTTTCCATTGACCGTGGTGAGTCCTTCTGCGAAGACGTTTTTGACAATTGCAATGGCGGGAGACTAGTTTTCTTAGCTGAAGTAGGAGTGATAGATCTCCGTTGAATTCTTTCCGTGTTGGACATGTGGGTTAGACTTTTGCATACAGAAGGCTGTAAGGTACTGGACTCACGCGATGTTAAATTTAAGAAAGAAGATTCCCACGCTGGCTCAGAATGAAGTGGTAGGGGTCTGCTATTAATTTGACTAGGAGAAAAACCATCAACCAGTACGCCGAAGGTCACGAGTGGACTTCGGTTCTTATTGCCATGTTTCAAAGACGACTTTTCGAGACCGTGTGAAACCAGTGCGCGATGTTTGGCCCTATCGGCCCAGATAAGCATTTTGGAATAAAGGATAACAGGAAGGTTCAATTCTTTAGTCACTTGGACTTTAGTCCATTGTTTAGCAAGAAGAAATGAGGCACACTCTTTCATCTTACGGCGAAGGCTGATAGACAACGGGTTCTGACCGCTACCGTCTTTGGCTAACAAACAGCAAATGTCTTGAGAAACGAACAGACGGAGGAGGACATACTGGCCTTGCTGGGCAGCTTCATGAACCGGCGCCTTTTGGCTGTTCACGTTTGCAATCTGGTTACACCACTGACGGGCCGGGTGTTCCCCAACCGGCTCGTGGGATTTCACTCCCAGTTTCATAATATAAGATGCGAGATCAACATGTCCAAAGTGCGCAGCGATATAAAGAGCAACACGCCATTGGAACCGGGCAACGATTTCGTTCGCATCCGTCGACGCTATAACAGCTTTTGCGCTCCCGGCAATGGACGACATCAGAAATTCGTTCCATCCATCCCATGTCTCCATGAAGATTTTCATCCCCTTAGCGATACCGTAACTGGACAGTCGGTACATATCATACATTTCGCGTCCGTCTGGACTAAGTAAACGAGAGACAGACACTGGCAGACCGGTGTGTTCAGACACGCGTTGCCTTAGTTCGCTGACCATCATTTCACCGATCCAGTTGATGTTATCGATTGAAAACGTCTCACGATTGTAGCGACAAAAGACGAACAGAGACGGCTGGACTCGAGCACGGAGGGCCAGTTTGAGGGTGGAACCGGGAACGATGTTCAGATCTCCTAAGATCCAGGAATCTTCCAATTCGGAACCAGCAAAACGAAGAACTAGGACTTTGTTCTCTTCACGGAAGGCGAGACGGAAGCCAAGCTTAGAAGAAACAATTTTCTTTGCTTGGAGCACAGTCACGTGGCCAGGGATATCGCACGGGATGCGTTGGTTTTCGTAAACCCAGAAATATAGCATTGTTCAGTTTGATTATAATTTGTTTTGAGAGGTTTTTGATTGGGTGGTTGTCGAACGACTTTTATGAAAAACTAACCAATGAGCATTGTTATTTTTGTTTTAAGCATCAACTTTTAGTTCAAAGTCAAAAAGCCGTCTTTAATACTGTTCGTAAGTCCATCTCGTTAATGTTTCGATGAGTTAAAATTGCGACTTTTTATTTTTCCAGATTTGAGAGGACTGTTATTATTTTTTATTTGTATTTCGTGTTTTTCATTCACTTCATTTATTTTGTTTCTTTTTCTTTCGTCAGTTTATTTTTTCATTCTTTTTTTTTTTCATCGTTCGTCTTTTTCCTATTTCTTTTTTTTTTCTTTATTCCATCTTTTTTTTTCCTGCTTAGTTTTTTTTTATCTGGTCTCTCATAAATTCAAAAAAAAAAATTTAATTTTAATTATTTTGTTTATTTCTGCTTCGTTTATCGTTTTCTTTCTTTTTTTTCATTGTTCAGCTACCATCGTTCGCTTTTTTCTCTATTTCATTTTTTTTTTCCACTTTTTTTTTAAACTTCTTCTTTCATTGCTTTTTCATTAGTTATTTCTTTATTTATTTTATTCTCTGTCTTTGTTTTACATTTATTTATTTATTCATTCTTTTTCCTATCGATTGTTCCTTTTTTATTTTTCGTTTTTTGTTTCTTTTTTCCTTCGTTTCTTTATTTCCTTCATTTCTTTTCTTTCTTTTTAGATTCGTTTCTCTTTCTTTGTATCTTCATTTCATTTTATTTCCTTTCTCTTATTTCTTTTTCCTGTTTATTTCTTTCATTATTTTGTCTTTATTTCTTTCTTTCTTTCTTTTTCCTTCGCTTGTTTATTTTATTTTTTCTTCACTTGTTTTTTTCTTTCTTTTATTTTCCTTTCCTTTGTCTCTTCATTGTATCGTTTGATTTTTCTTTCTTTCTTTCTTTCTTTCTTTCTTTCTTTCTTTCTTTCTTTCTTTCTATTGAAGCAGACGGGACGTGCCTGATAGCGTTATCGCTTCTTTCTTTCTTTCTTTCTTTCTTTCTTTCTTTCTTTCTTTCTTTCTTTCTTTCTATTCTCTTTGTTTTACCTTTTATTTCTTTTTTCTTCATCCACTTCTTTATCTAATTTTTCTTTCATTTCTTTGTTTTTTTTCTTTGTTTCTTTTTCTTTGTTTCCTTCTTTATTTTTAATCTTTTGTTACTTTTTTTCCTATGTTCGTTTCTTTTTTCTTTCTTTTCCCTTTCCTTTGTTTCTTTATTTCTGTTACTTTCTTTTGTCTCTTCTTCCAAAGTTTGTTTCTTTTTTTGGGGGTTTATTTCCCTTGTTTATTCATTTCCTTTCTTTTTTTGTTTCTTTTTCTTTTGCCCGTTCGTTTATTTCTTTTATTTTTTAACTTTTTTTTCTTATATTATAGAGAGACAAGAATTGATTATCTAATCAATTGATATTAATCGGTTTCTCCTTTTCATTTCGATAAATGTGATAGTCTATTGGCCGGAGGAATCTGAACGAATGGTTTCTATCCTGTCTTTATAATAATTAAATATCACTCACTACGTGTTGTCTTTCTTTTGTTCCACGTAGTATTAGCCGGTGTTCATATCAGGGGCGGGGGGGGGGCGGAATAAAAAGTGGATGGATGGTAGTCATGGGATAAGGCAACATAATCCTTTTCTATAAATATTTTCATGGCAATTGTTCTGATGAGCTTTCCTCTTTGGTTCATAGCATTAATGAATTAAAGCGTAGTACTATATTGGTAACCAGGTACACGGAGTTTGATTGTTGAACTTGTTAAACGTAAGTACTTTTCTAATAGTTCTTCTTGTACTCCTCGCTTTTTGAGCTCTAGTCCAACTACAATCCAGAAAAATTTAAATTCAATGTCGATTGCATCGTGTGTCTCCTTAAATACTTTTCTTGTTAATGTCCTTTATCTTCACTTGTTGTGGGGCTCTCCCCTTTTTACATAAGATGGACTCGTCCAAAGTATACTTATAATGACAGAGAGAATACCTGCTGTTGAGATACGTGGAGATACGTTGATATACGTTGAGGCAGGTTGAGAGATACGGAGACAGACACAGGGTATTCTCAGAGAGTTATACAAGAGTCCAGAGAGAGGGAGAGGGAGAGAGAGAGAGAGAGAGAGAGAGAGAGAGAGAGAGAGAGAGAGAGAGAGAGAGATGATTACGGCTTTACTTACAGAGACTTGCACATATACTTTCTACTAACCCGCATTCCTGGACTACTAATCTTCACTTCAAGTCTGTATTCTTACTTTTAATACACTTATTTTTCTATCTCCATTTCTGGCGTTGTTTATTTATTTGTGCAGGATTCCATTCCCGGAATCCACAACATCAGTGACGTTTTGTTCAGTTTCCTTCATTCTATTGTCCTTTTATTTCTCAGTAAATCATTGGGTTTTAGCTTAAGGATTAAGATTAAGAAAAAATCATTTATTTAATTTCTGCGGTTTTTTCATTGTTTTTTGTTTTCTATCGAGATCTTTATGCATTCATTCTTTTCCTACGTGTTAACTGTTCCTATGTATATTTGCACAACATATTTCCAAGGTAAATGGTTGAAAAGTTGTCAGAAGATTTTCTATGTTGAAGCATATTCCTAAGTGAATATGCTTTATTGATTTGGAGACAACGCGCTTTATACACCAATTTTCATTTTTTTATCGTTTATCAATATATATATCCGATGCGATGAGAACGAAAGTAATATATAAATTCCAACGTTCACAGCATTAATCCAAAAGAGGGCTCGATACCGATAATAGAGCGATAATTATTTATTTATTATAATTTTATCATATAGACAAAACCATTTTACTCACTACACAGATGCAACTTCGTTTCAGTGCATTTCAACTGCACTTCGACCGGTGAGAACCGAAAATGGTTAAGAACGATCCTGCTTGTAGGTAAGCCGTATGTTAAACGTCACTTCCTTTTTCCATTTGTTTGAGAAGAAAATATATATATATATAAATATAGCAAAAAGGTGACGGGGTGAAACAATAGTGTTTGTTGATAGCAGTTTGGTGAAGAATGGATGGGGTGTTGAATGTTGACTGGTCTGTGGAGATTTTTTCTTGCCGATAAACACCGTTTATCAATATATATATATATATATATATATATATATATATATATATATATATATATATATATATATATATGTATGTGTGTGTTATTTGTATTTTATTTATTATTTTATCGTTTATCAATACGGGTGTGCGTGTGTGTTATTTGTATATTTCTTTTCTTACGTATAAAATAAAAGAGATTTTTAATTCACATAGAAATAACATTTAGCCATTTACAAGATCTTTCCACGCTTCGCTGTTTTCCAAAATGGATGACATTCCTGAGATCTGTTGTCTTAATTATTTCCTTTGGATATATATATATATATATATATATATATATATATATATATATATATATATATATATATATATCGTATGTGAGAATGAAAATAATATATAAATTCTAACGTTCACAGCACTAATTTAAAAGAGGGCTCAATACTGATAGTAGAGCAATAATTATTAATTATAATTTTTTCATATAGACAAAAACAATTTTCTCACGACAAAGATGCAACTTCATTTTGGTGCATTTAGTTGCATCCAAAATTGTAGCGAGTTAAATTGTTTTTTTTCTATATGAAATAATAATAATGATAATATATTTATATATGAGTAAACTCTTATATATGGGATAATATGAATTATTATATAAATTACTACACTAACACATTTCTCATATATATATATATATATATATATATATATATATATATATATATATATATATATATGTGTGTGTGTGTGTGTGTGTGTGTGTGTGTGTGTGTGATAATTATTTATCCAGTATTTTTCTTACTTCAAATGTTATTATAGTGGACATATCTTATTTGGAATTATGCGCACACCGATAGACGTATTACACACTGTTAAATAAATGAATAAAAATGTGTCGTCTTTTAACTAAGAAATGTCCACTGTAATAATGTTTTAAGCAATATATATATATATATATATATATATATTGATATTATATATATTATTAAGAGTTAATCAAATATATGCATATATCGAATAATATAGTTTTAATGAAAGTGTATTTTTATGTAATGGAATAAACTGTCACGACCATGAGTGACTACACTATAGGTAGTAATTGCCTATAAGTATCGGTAAGTTAACGAACTACAGAGACTAGCTGGGGATCTGATGAGTACGATTCAGACTTACACGAGAACTACTAACCTTCCAATAGTAGCACTCACTACTGGATTGATTTGCGACTTGTGCATAACTGTTACCTTTATTCTTATTGTACTGTTTTTTTTTACAATAAACCTTTACTTATTTAATCCACCTTGTTCTTCAAGTATATATTCCTATTAGCACGGAATATAACATATTGCTTAGTAAAATGTTCAAACAACGAAACATGCAGAGATTTGATTGTTGTCTGCTACCGGAATTTTCCCTCGTTTAAGTGTTGCTTGGTTTCTTTTTTATGCAACCGTCATTATGGTTTAGAATTGGGGCATTACCATTGCCTTATTATATTGTTAATTTTAACGCTACCAAAACGAAACTGATCTCTTTTCATCGTCTGAGAGAAACTTTTTTACCTTCCATCAGCATGGCTGATGCTAACCTCCAGGAGAATGACACCAAAGTTCTTCTCGATCTAACGTTTTCCGCTGATATGAAGTGTAAATATTATATTGAATCAATTGCTAGATCTACTGCTAGGAAAGTTGGCGCACTGTATCGGGCTAAACAATTTTTCTCGACAGAATTTATGTTACACATTTACAAGTCTACAATTCATAATTCTGCTATATATGGTTTGGTGCTTCTGATACGCATTTAGAGATTCCTGATGAAATGAAAAGACGAATCTGCAATGTTTACTGGCCCTGAGCTGGCATCGTGGTTTCAGTCACTTTTTCACCGCTGTAACGTAGGTCTCCTTTGCATTTTCTACAAATATTTTCATGGTAATTGTTGTGATTTGTGATGAGCTTTCCTCTACATAAACTTAAGTTCAGTGCTAGATTGGCAGCTAGGTCTCATTTTATAATTGAAATGACTAGATGTCACCGTAAGTTGTATGCGAACAGTTTATTCTCTCCCACTTGCGCAACCCTCTTCTGGCTTCTTGCTTTCCAGTTAACTTTGATATTCAAAAATTAAATGCAATGTCAATCGTTATCGTCTGTCTTCTTAATTATTCTTTTATTGTTCTCACTCGTTAATAATGTTTTCTTTTTTCTCATATTCTCTCACTTTCAGTAATTCCTTGCGTCTTTATTGCCATGATTGGAGTGAAAGGATTTAAAAAATATTATGGAAGGAAAGATTATGTAGATAATGAAGTATAGTATAGATTTAGTGGTTAATAAAAATCCAGTAATAATGTTGTTAAACTTATTCATTTATTATTATTTATGTCGTAAATCCACTTCGATATTTGAGTGAATCTGAACATCACCAGATGTTTTAGTTAAAGCGAATTTGTGGCAGACAAATATATGATTGACAATCACAATAGAGAGGGAATATGTGTTGAATTGATCGAAGTTAAGAAATAATTCCATAAGAAGAGGTCGGTCTTTTTATAAATACATCACCTTTTCGAGTTTATATAATACTTAAATAAAATAATATTTAAATAGATACTGTTTAAACATCTTACTACATATACGCATGCGCAGATTTGATACGGCTTTTTCTTATGGAGATTAAAGTTCATTTGTTTCGTAGCTTTGTATTAAAACACAACGCAATGTTTTGTTTTGATTTGGGTAGGCACAAAAAATTATCATTTGTTATAGCCGACCAAAAATCAGTTTTTTATGCAAGTTTCAGTTTTTTAAATTATCATTTGTTATAGCCGACTAAAAATCAGCAACGTTTTATAAGCAAGTTTCAGTTTTTAAAATTATCATTTTTATAGTCGACTAAAAAACACTATTTCCGTAAAATCTTCGGTTCTGAGACGTAATTAAAATGTGACAAATATGGAAGAAAATCGAGCGGCTTATTATAATATCCATTGTAGAATTGAACTGGGTTAGTCGTAGCCATTGATATTTCAAAATGTGATCAATACCATTTTCGTGATGATAAACAGAATTATATTCGGAAAACAGTTTCTCTTCTTATTGATTAATGTGCTAAGAAGCCAGGCTATGTCAGCAGTTCTTCCTGGTAAATCAATATAGCGATGTTGGTGTTGACATAAAATTTATATGATATGGTTATTGATATAGGCGTTCATATGAAACCAATCTGGTTAAATTGCTAGGCTTTGTTTTCGTTTCGTTTCGCATTCTTTTCGTTGCGGTCACCGATTAAAATAAATAGTTCAAATAACTGCGTCGCTCCGATATTGAAATCTGGCGGTGAGGGGACGCTGTCACATGACGACGCCCTGTCTTCGATTCCATCGGTTAAGACAAGTTGCCGTGTCATTTCCCTGAGAGTCTTAACTCGTCAGGGTGAGGGTCCATTCTCTTTAATCCTGCAAAATAACGAGACAGTGCTTATCTCGATGAAGAAATATTTCATCGCTTCTGTTTTTAATAAACAAAAAATGATTTACAATTATAATCCTGTAACTATTTTAAACTATTGGAATATAAAATATTATTTTCTAAATAATTTATAACAATACGAAGGATTTCATACTTGCTTGGTTGATTTTGTTTAGCGGCATATCAACTGAAATATAAATTTTTTGAATGCAGTTGTATTGTAGAGGTTGTTTACTTACACAACGCCCACAAAATACTCTATAGCCATAGAAAATAAGCACTATTTTCTATAGGACAATTTATGCATCGCATGAGCCACATCAAATTTTCTGATGTTTACTTTGCCAAACCTGGTTTAGAAAAAAATCAGTGATTGGTTGATTTTTGACCAATAATATAATATAACACTCTTTTCAATATTTTTCCCGCTCTCGTTCCTGGAGCCTATTCGAAAATCAAATAAAAGAACAGTAGTAGAACAGTAAATCTCCATAACTCAACCACGTACGTGAATTCTCATTCTTCTACTCACACACACAGACACAAAATTACAATTGCATTACGCTGTGAACTGTCTGTCCAAAAAGCCAAATAACCAACCCAAAATTCTATCATTCTTTTGTACGACTTTCTCATACTTAAACTCAGTTATCACATATTGCTGAACTTTGAACATTTTAAACAAGAAAGTTCTTTAAACACATATTTACAATCTCACCTCAGTACAAGGGGAACTACTTCCTCTTTCTGAACTTTGTTTCACCAAACACAATTGTTGTACTCGCTTGTTTTTCAATACATGTTATTGTTGATTACTGAATAATCTCTTGTTATTCCTTCTTTGTGTTTCTTTGTAAAATTTAAATGTGATGTGCTAATCAAAAACGCAACCTTCACCAAAGCCTTCTTAACAATTTTATACCAAATCTCATTAGCACGCCACAGTTTGCCTTCAAATATAGATAAAATGTATTGTTTGCAATTCTACGATAAATAAGTATTGTTGGTATATTTTTATATACACTGCGTGCCAAATTATTATCGAGATAACCTTTTTCTAATATTTCAAAAACCGTCCAATCAATTCACACAAAATTTTCACACAATGTTGGCAACACTGACCTGCGCAATTACTGAAATTTTTGTACTGATCAGCGCAATGTAAACAAACTGGCGCCATATTTGTTATCAGCACGGTGATTTGAGCGTGCCAAATTATTAGAAAGGTTTAGTAAAATCCCCAGAATTGAGCACGTGAATGTTTATGATCAAAAGAAGCTAATAAATAAGATAATCAAACAAATAATAACAGATACAAACAAAAGCACAGTTTTAAACAAATTACTAAGGAATGTGCTTTCCCTATTTTGAAATTACTTGAAGACGTCGACGATCCATAGAATTTGTTAATTGTAGGATGTCAGCTGCTGTAATGCCGCGAGATATGTCAAGAATTGCTTCCCACAACTCAGCGTTGCTCCTGAATTGTCGTCTTCGCTTCATGATGCTCCAAAGGTTTTCGATTGGGTTCAAATCCGGAGAATTTGTTTGCCACTTCATTTTTCGAGGTCCATCGAAGCCTAACTGTTTCAAATATTCAGTAGTCTTGTGAGCAGCATGTGAGGGAGCATTATCTTGCATAAAAACAATGGCCCTTCTGAAGGAAACTCATTACCTTTTCATCCACGGTTCAAGATGCTCCTTCATAAACGCTATGTATGCATCAGCATTCATTTTGATGCAATCTGGTACTCTCGATGGGCCCACTAATGTTTTTTCCAATGATACCACCCCAGATCATTATGCCTCCACCGCCTTGTTGGCGTCTCAAACGCTGATGGCGATTCTGTCCGTTCATTACCCAGCCTTTGCACCATCTATCTGGCCCATAAAGTGTTGCTTGAGTTTCGTCTGTGAACAAAACTTTAGAGAAGTCAATTTTCATATTGTCCTCGGCCCATTTCAATCAATTTTGAATGTGATTTCTCGTCAACGGAGGCTTCGATACAGGTTTGACTGTTGTTGCTATTTCCCTCAGATACCGACACCGAGTACTTTTAGACACAGTAGGATCCCCAATGCGACTGAAAAGCTCTTGACTGGTAAGTCCAGGGTTCTTCGTGGCCTCTCATTTAAGTCGTGACATGAGACGACGTGAAATAACCCTCGGCTTGCCTTTATCTGCCCTTTTGCGTACTTGTGTAGGGTCGGCGGTGTACTTTTTCACTGTTTGATGACACCTCCCTATCATTTTAGAAATTTCTAGGGTAGATTTACCTCTTGAGAGTTCTAAGGTGATAGTTTTCTTTTCAGCATCACTTAAACTGCTTTTACGGCCCATCTTTTCACTTTTCTAATAATTTGGCACGCTCAAATATGGCGCCAGTTTGTTTACATTGCGCAGATCAGTACGAAAATTTCAGTGATTGCGCAGGTTAGTGTTGCCAACATTGTGTGAAAGTTTTGTGTGAATTGATTGGACGGTTTTTGAAATATTAGAAAAGAAATTATCTCGATAATAATTTGGCACACAGTGTACAAAAATGTATTGCTGGTATTTTTAACATAGAAATTGTATTTTTATACTTTCATAGTGTTTTGTTTTTGTTTGAGAATTCACTTTTTGCCCATGGCTGGGACCCTAACAGGTGCTACCACACAGGCTCAGGGTGGCTCTGGGAACAACAGCAACTAAGAGGTCGTTCCCCGTTCCTCAAAACGTCCCGACCAGAAGGCTTGCTGCCGGATGTAGTTTATCGTCATACCCAGGAATAGATTTCACACTTAATTTTTATGCTAAATCAATAACTTCAAATTATTAATCCTTTCCGATTGGAATTTTACACATACAACAACTATTCTTTTTTTTTTTTTTTATTAATACGTTTATGAGACCAGAGATTTCGAATAAGATTTACTCTTTAGATTCCAAGGATTTTTTCAAAATAAAAGAAAGCTTTTTTAGAGGTGAGACACAAACGTTTCTATTGTGTAAAAAACAAGTGGAATTATTTACAGAATTTAACAACTAGTGTTATCAACAGATATTTTCTTGCTGCCTATCCCATTAAGATTAAAAGGTTTAATGTCTCAGGCATTTCAAAATATAATATTTGGGAATATTAGGTGTTGTAAGCTTGGATGTGCGGGTGGTGTAAAGACTTGAAATCGGAGAACCAAGTTCCAATTCCAGTTGAGTTCGTTATATTTACTTACGCGCAAATACCTTGGGAAAAGTATGAATCCACCTATTCTCTCCATAGCCATGGGTTAATTAGTAGAACTTGTATCAGTAAACAATTATTATATGAAAACATTCTTCCAATCTAAAAATATTTTCTGGCTTTGAATAACTCGCAAAAGGTCGATAAGCCGTAGAAAACAAATCAACCATACATTTTTTTTCAATAATTTAGACAATTTCAGTAACAGATTCAAAACTTTGAGTCGCTACGTGACCTAATAGTTCTCCATTGAGATCTGGATTCGAACCTCAAAATTTTGAGTCGGTACGTGACCAAATAGTTCTCCATTGAGATCTGGATTCGAACATCAAAACTTTGAGTCGGTACGTGACCGAATAGTTCTCCATTGAGATCTGGATTCGAACATCAAAATTTTGAGTCGGTACATGAGCGCATAGTTCCCCATTTAGACCTTGGTTCGAACCTCGCCAAAGTCGATTTGACAAGAATCGGATTTTTTTGGTATCAGATAGAGAAGATAATCACAGTGGGGGGGATACCGTCGGGAAGTGCCTGAAAACCATCCCAGCTAAGAAAATGATGTTGTTACAACGTTTCTGTAACGTCCACTAGTGGCTGGAAGAACGTTCTTTTGAAGTCTCACCACAACGTGCCAGCAACGTTACCTTGTAACGTTACGAATACGTTAATTGTATGAACAGAACATAGATAATAAACACAGGAAGATATTAGAACGATCATTCATCATCTAAATTAGTGATTCTAAATTTTTAAAAATCGAAAATAAATTCTATATATTCTATAGATATTCTTTAGTGAAAGAAAAAGTGTTCTGATATTATATTTAACCAGTGCAGTTATTTTTCAGCTACAACAATTCGCAATGTTACCTAAAAGTCGTGACAACGTTGTGTATCTGTAACTATAAATTAGTGATATTCAATTTAAAAAAGAAGCAAAGAAATTTTATACTTTCAATACATATTGTTAATTAAAGAGAATTATTCCGATGTTATAATTGACTAGTGCCGAAATTTTTCAGCTACAGATCTTCGCCGACCTTAAAATCGTGACAACGTTGCGGTCAGAAAAATAGCTGGTGGCAACATTACCGTAACGACACCACACAGATCTCTTAACCAAAATGCAACGTTTCAGAAACGGTCCAGCTTACGGCCACAGCATTTTGAAACACCGGTTCCTGTACGTTCACCGAAGTTAAGCAACATCGCGCCTGGTCAGTATCTAGATGGGTGACCACTTAAGGATAGCAGATGCTGCAAGTTTGGATTTGCGGGTGGTGTAATGGGTAACGGCTCGGAACTGTTAATCGGAGAGCTGTGTTCCAATTCCAGTTGGGTTCGTTGTATTCACTTACGCGCGAAAAGGTATGAATCCACCTCTTCTCCTCCTAGCTATGAGTTAATTAGTAAAACTTGTATAACTAAAGCATTATTATATTTAAAAAAAAAACATTCTTACAATCTAAAAAACCTTTGCGGCTTTAAATATCCTGCAAAGGGCTGATAAACCGTAAAAGAATGAATCAATCAGTTAATGAAATTAGCTACACAGACATGTCTTTTGAATTCATTTACATATTCTGGGATATAAATGTATAGAAACTACAATGGCCCAAAACTGAGGGATCAATTTACATAATGGTTGTAATATAGAATTGATCCCTCTGCTATATATAGACATCACGATTTCTTGTTTGTTTATCAAATTATGATTAGGTATGAATCCACCGCTTCCCCTCCCAGCTATGGGTTAATTAGTAAGGCTTTTAACACTAAACTTTTATTATTATATATAAAAAATTCTTACAATCTAAAAATATTTTCTGCCTTTAAATAACCCTAAAAAGGTTGATAAACCGTAGAAAACAAATCAATCAATTAATCAATACGTAACGTTTCAATAACATTTCGTGTTCACTGGAATACCACTTGTTGACCCAAGCCTCATAAACGAAATTGTTTGGAAGTCATGGGAGCTTGTTCTACATGAATATATGATTATATGAATAATACATGCTACATGAATACATGATTACATGAATACATGATTACTTGAATACATGATTACTTGAATACACTCTGTATGAATACATGTTACATGAATACATTCTACATCAACACATGAATGCACGCTACATGAATACATGATTAAATGACTACATGCTACATGAATACATGATTACATGAATACACGCTACATGAATACATGCTACATGAATACACGATTATATGAATATACGCTACATGAATACATGCTACCACCTCTTTCCCACAGACGAAACGTTGCTAGATTCTCGTTACACTATCGCTGTTTTCATGGCAGATCGAGTAAACTACATTCTTTGAACCCACCAGTTCAGACCTTCACAGCTAGGGCCCGCCATGCCACGTACACAGAGTCGAATCATCCTCATTCCCTTCATATTCCATTGGTAAGCAGAAAGGTCCACTCAGAGAGGTTCCTCCCCATAACTGTTACATAGTGGAAAAGACTCCCGTGTGGATGCTTCTTCGACCGTTACAACCTCGGCATCTTTAAGTCTAGGACTAATCATTATCTATCCTACATACCCCCCCTCTTTGTACGCCCTTACAACAAACTCAGCAACCCTCTACCTTGAGTTGCTCTTAGGCCTTATATGGATGAACATTGTTCATCCATATAAGGTAAAAAAATTGAGTTGATATGCCGCTAACAGAGCAAACCAATGTTTGAATATTTATAATACATACACGAACATTTATATATACATTTGAAAAATTAATAAATATTTAAATGTGTTATATAGGAAATAAGTGTCGCTTCTGATACTTGAGTTTGAACATAGATCGCCAGTGAGCAAACACAGGCGATCCCATTATTGAATTAAGTAGACCACATGACCATAGAGGAAACACTTAAGTAGGAATTAGCTTTGCGTCTAACTGATCGCCATTTCTAGTCTATCCTCTATTACTATACGGACTGCTATTCTCTTCTCTGCACTATTCTCTATACTGATTACTACTCGGTGGTTACTTTGCGATCGAGTATTATCGGGCAAGTACTATTAGTGCGAGTCGTATTTGAAGGCGTCTGATACCAGTATTGTTCAACGGCGTTACTATAGGTGTATCTGTGATTACAAAGTCTCTACTACAACGAGCATTACGAAAGTGACAACGAGTATTCGTTGGCATCACAAAAGTGACAACGAGCGTTGGTTGAAATCACAAAGAATAATCAACATAACACCAATAATCGATTCCACACCGTGGAGCATTGATTAACAAGATAGTTACTGTTACTACTAATTTAGTCAACTGGATCCTCACTAGGTGCCACATTAAGCTAAGCTTGGCGATAAAAAAATGGACTCAAGCGAATGAATCCTGTAGGCCTTGAAGAGAACTCTCCTTTTGTCGGGACTTGTAGTCTGGCGCTACAGAATCACAAACAAAGAACAGTAGGAAATCAGTGAAAACGCATTACTTGATGACTAACAACTAAAATGGATAGCGTATGTAACTAGAAGGGAAAATGATAGCACACTCAAGATGTTGATTTTCAACACTACCTTAAACAAAAGGTTAGGAAGGAAACTCCTATTAGTACCAGAAAGAACGATAACATTGGACTTGCGAAAGCTATTTTTCTAAAAAGCTGTTTTAAGAGAAAGATTTTAGAAATTATACTAACTGTTCGGTCAATGAATGCCAAATGTTTCCTTATAATCTCAACGTTATCATTACCATTAAGGTCGACATTCATCAAGGAGTTGTATGGATAATTGCAGCTCTAGCGAGTTCGACTCTTACTTGGTGCATAACAATTGTGACTTTGTGTCGTATTCAGCTAAATTTAATTGAACTTGGACGAGCATACGCCTAATCGCCGATCGGATCCCGAACCACCGACAATCACGATGAATGGATGTCCTTCCAGGAAACCCCGTGCCTTAAGCAACCATTGGACCTTAAACTCAACTCATACCTCAAATGGAACTCGTACATAGAATCCATCGCTAAAGATGCAGGAAAAATGGTCGGTTTCTTGTAAGTACCAAACTACTCGTGATATCCTCTACAAGAGCCTAAAATGGCGTAATACAGGACAGGAGCTGCTCATTCTTCACTTTCCAGTCTCGATAGAATCCCAAAGCGTCCAAAAGCGTCCTTGTGGGTAACAAATTATTTTCTATCCTGCATTTCTCACGGTAGGGATGTGGTAAGCCTCTCACTGCTTTATGGCTACTGCAATGGAAAGTGCTCGGACGAACTTCATTCCTTGGTTCCACCAGTTCTAACATTCACAGCGAGGACCCTCCATCTCACTCCCATCGTAGCAATCCATTCTCCCCATATTCCACCGGTGAGAAGCTTCTTTCCGCAAACCACTGCTCTGTGGAACTAAACTCCCAAGGGGATGTTTCCTCCTTCACTACAATCTTAACCTGTTCAAGTATAGGATTAACCGTTATCTTCAAAACTGTGCCTTTTACTCTTTAACGCTCTATCTCGAGTGACCCTCGGGCCTTGTACAGGGTGGACTTCACTGTAAAAAATCGATAAATAAATAAGAACGAGTGGGCAAACCTGGAGCGATCTGATTGGCTGCTGCTGTGTCGTACAACTGTTTTATATTAACTAACACACTGAGAATTAGGGCAGGTCGATTTTGAAACCGCCATTTTGCACTCAATTTGAAAGTTGGCGCTTGAAATGATAAAAAACGGCACAAAATATTTTCTTCCAAATATTTACCGTTTTTTGAGGAAACGAGTTTAAAGATTAAGTTTAGATTAAAACGTGTAACATTGGCATTCCATTCCGGTGATCAGTGAAAGCCTTACAGCACACACTTATAAAATGTATAGTTTACTGAAACTTTATAAATCGTATTTGGAAAAGGTGAAAAGAAAACGCACATTGTTACTAAATCATTGCGCCATCAAAATAAGACCCTCATTTTCTTCAAAGGGAAATTATACTGAACAATTTAGCTATATTATTATGTGATATGTTATACAGTGCAATAGTTTTAGTGCTATTTTGATGTAATGAATATGCATACACCTGGGTTCGCTCTCACAATAATATGATTGGCTGGTGTCAGCCATAAATACAGACTGATGTGGAGGTACATGAACGACGCCTATAGTCTTCGCCTATTGCCTACGCCTATTGTCTACCACTACAACGAGGACCAGTCCATTACGGTTACCTGCTAGATTTGTCCTACTCGGTTACAGTAGTCCAAAACCACTTTGCTACTTCGAACAAATATATCCCTTTTCAGGGACATATTAGATTTTCAAAAAACAAAGCAAATTTAAAACATTTTGTCTTATAATTTGTGCCCAGTAGTATTATAGTGTTATATACATTTTCACTAATTATTTGTTTTTATTAATTATGATCTAACAAATCTTATTCATTGAGTAGCTTTTTTTGTAATCTTTTACAATGTTTTTACTTATCGAATACATTAAAAAATAGCATATTTTTTGCTGAGTTCTAGAATTCTAGTTTTAATATATTTTCCGTTCATTGTATCTAATACACAAATATCAACTTTATATGGATTTATTTTTGATATAGTAAAAATTTGAAGTCTGTGAGCAAAAACCTGCAGAAATTAGGTATTTCCGTACATTTTCCAGACGATCGTTAAAACTAAATACACAAAAATTGGTAAAATCTATCAATCTAATTTTTGGTGTCTATACTTATCAAATCAAAGCCCAGCTTTTACTGTTGCCTCATTCGTAAACAAGACTGAAAGGACAAACAACAGATCGGTAGTTTGTACAATATGCCATCGGCAAAAGTTCTTCTTTGGTGAGTGATCAGAGGGTGAAAGGTCCTGCACACCCTGCAAATGATATGGATACAGGACCTGTTCTTGAAGTACCCTCCATGTGGTACTATGCGATGTACGACATGCTAGGGACACTTGAAGTCTACTGATACCTGCACCGTCTCCAACAGCCGGTAGAATGTGTTCTTCGTACGAGCGAATCTCGACCCATAGTTTGTGGTACCACGGGTCCTGTCTAAGCAACGCGACGATAAACAGCAGCAAATGTTGGATGACTCAGCTGCCTTCGATATCGCAGTCTGACACAGCCGTGCGGCCTTGTGCCCATTATCATTCGAGCGGCCGTATGTAAAAATCATATCTGCCTGCTCACGATATAATTATTCTGTTATTGTTAAACAGAACACTTCTTAGTTAATTTTCTAAAGAAAGTGCAAAGTCAACTTGCCCTATTGAACATG